TTCTTTTTAGATAAGAGATAAGTTAAAGCTTCATAATTTCAGATTGCATTTCAGAGAAGACAGTGTTCTTCAAGCTTGCTCAAATTTTGCCCAAAAGGAGTTTTGTTGACCATGCTAGAGATTCATAGAAAATGGATCGAAAATGGAGGCAGATTTAGTGTCCAGTTCTTGTCTGCCGTTTTTTTCTCTTAGGGAAACACACATCACATGGACTNTTAAAAAAAAAAATTAAAGAGCTTTAAAAATGATAAACAAGGAAAGCAAGGCTAACCGTGCAGTACAGAGCCTCTTATTAGCCGATCCTTTTGATGAGTATTGTTTTTGAACTAGTCAATTCAGGTCAATTCCTACTGGTCTATAAAATAATGAGCAAGAGGCATGTTTCCTAGAAGTTATTTTCTGTTCTGCAATGCACGCATTCATGTATGCCACTAAGAAAACCTCGGGGTCTGCCCCTGCTATGGCTTATAGCACTTATAAAACTTCCAACTTCTTTCGGAATTGTCAAGGCTGTGTTCACACTCTATAAGATAGCTTTTGCGTCGGCACGAAAACCACACCGTGTCAGTGATCTGTTTACACATAAAAACAGTTAGATTCCGGCGCGATTTTTGTAACAGAGCGAAGCTGCACTGCACTGCACTGCACCTATCTCAAAATAGAGTCACATATCGGACAGGTGTTCACTTTTCTTGAGATGGAGACACGTGCGACCAAGATGGTAGCCTGCGAAAACATCCGTTTCTCCTCGCTCTTCGCCGCTGGGGAAACGACCAAAATGGCGGGTGGAGAGTTAAACCGTACAGAATTAAAGAGTTTAACTGTACAGAATTTAACCCAGACCATGAGTTTAACTCCCCTTGAACAGTTTTAAAAAAGAATAAAAACTTTTTCTACTTGACAGTCAGGCATCTTGAACAACTCTGATCTGTTAATTAGCTCTATTTTTTAAATTATTTAAGTTAAATAGTTTTTTTTTTATAAGTACCGTATAACCTCCACCCACTTGTAACCGGTCTGTGGTACCAGCCAACTCGAAAGCTTAGCTCCTTTGGCTGCTACACACTCTTTTCCTTTGTTATGTTTGATTCAATGTATAGTTAGCTCTGTTTTTTACTTCTTCTTTTTTTTTCCTTATTGTTGTTGTATCGTAATTGAATAAGTGTGAATAAATGAACTTGAACTTGAACTTGAACTACACCGAAAAGCTTTTCGTTTTGGCACGAAAAGCTATTCCGTAGTGTGAACACAGCCAAAGATATTATGACTAGGGGGGTTTTCCTTTCACTATACACTTGTCGAAGATGATTGTTTTTCATAGATTCCACTGTTCTCCTCAGTAGATAAGTAAATTTCTTGCATATCTTCTTTTTAGATAAGAGATAAGTTAAAGCTTCATAATTTCAGATTGCATTTCAGAGAAGACAGTGTTCTTCAAGCTTGCTCAAATTTTGCCCAAAAGGAGTTTTGTTGACCATGCTAGAGATTCATAGAAAATGGATCGAAAATGGAGGCAGATTTAGTGTCCAGTTCTTGTCTGCCGTTTTTTTCTCTTAGGGAAACACACATCACATGGACTATAAACATAGAATGAAAATAGTTTTTATTTGCGACTATATTTTTTCTAACACACCTAAAATTCCGCGAGTGATACATTATCTTTTTGACCCCCGTTTTGACTGAGTATTTATATGAGGGCTTATTAAAAAACGGTATACACTTTGATCTCCCTCGTGTCATAGTCAGTTTGAAATCAGACCATACTCGCGGACACGGCACGGAAAGTTACAAAAGATAAAATCGCATCTGAATCATAGACTTACCAGTTCAATGAAGTCAAAAAGGTTAAAAAATGGTCCTTGGAACGTCCCTGCTTTTCACAAGATTTTATATTTTTCCGCATTTCTTGCTGCAGTTATTCCAGGTATGCTACCCTCATATTTCTATCATATGTTGAAGATGGATTTAATTTGCAAATTGAATTGCGCGAATTGGGCAACTTCTTTTCAGCCGCACCGCATAACTTTTGCAATTGAAAAGGATTTCGTCCTTCATTCCAAACCTCGATAATATTCGAATTTGAAAAGACGTCAGTTGAAATTCACTTATACATGTATTCACAGCGCCACCAAGATGTCAGTTATAACAATTTAATCAGTTCGATGAGTGAGTGGAGAGGACTACTAAGGCGAGTGGGAGCCCAAGAGAATAGGGGCGGGAGGGGTGGTACGGGAGGCAAGAGAAAAAGATCGGGTGACGGGAGTACTAAAAGAGCGGGAAGTGGGAAAATTACTAGGGGGAGGCTACGTAACAACAGTGCCTAATAGTTCACAATCGAAGAAGCGCTAAAGGGAGGAAGCCAAGAGAAAAGGGGCGGAATACGGGAATGCAAGGTACAGGAAGCTAGAGGTTCGGACCCCTGCCCCCCAAACCCCCCACACCCCCCCCCCCCCCCTCCCCTCTCCCCCGACACCCCTAAAACTTCTCTTTCTATCTACCCCATCTTTAGCTTACACAGTGTACACTCTCATCACTGCTTCTTA